AAATATGTAAGGAAATAAAGAAGTAGATAAAGAGAAGAATTCCCACTGTCTACATAAATTTAAATTTTCCTCGGTTATTTACACACACCAAAGGAGAAAAGGGTGCTAAAAGGAGATTATCTGATACTGCATTGATATGAACATGAACAAGTACACACAAAAGTTGTATCACAGGAGAAACAAACATGAAAAACAAGAAGAAAAAAAACTGATCACAAATTCACAACCAAATAAAAGCATAAAACAACCATAACAAGCCAATAATGATAACCCAGAATCGAAACCAACATAGAAATCCATGTAAACGTGTAAAGTCTTCAACTTTGATAGAAGAAACAGAAACCCAGAAAAAAAATTACAAAAAACATGAAGTAAACAAGCCAAGAACTCACCTTTGTTTTTGCAGAGGCAGATCTGGGTAGGGACAATTTTACCTCCAATGGGGGTTTAAACAGAAGAACAAGTGAGCATGAGAACGAGAGAGAGAGAGAGAGAGAGAGAGTTGAGCTGCTTTCATTCCACGTGATGGGATGTCAGTTTTCTCTCCACCCTTTCTTCCCTCATACTGAAGAAAGGGGACTGCTTTGTTGGGTTTGTCAGAACTTGGAAGACTACAAAACTGTCCTTTATTGGTTTTTCATGTTTAAATACTTTGCTAATCTAGAAGGTAAGATTTTGTCCAACCAAAAAAAACGTTGAATTGTGTTAATTAATCTTAAACAAACACTAATCCAATTGAATGATTTTTTTTCCTAGCTTTTGTGAATGGTAGGGGCATAAAAGAACCTGAAAATTTAACTTTTCCCCCTCAAAACTCTTTTTTTTTTTTAGCCAATAATCCATCATATCATATTTATTTGAATAAAACTCAATAATTAGAATTCAACTAAGCAACTTATCAAATTAAGTGTGTGTGTCAGTTTTATGTTTTTTAGATTCGTAATATACTCTCATCTAAGCCAGTATGGAAATGTCTTGTAATTACGTTTTAATTGATCATGTGCATTGAATTTGGCAAGGTATTGTAGCCATGAAATTTGGTTCTAGATATAGGAATTGATTAGGAAATATTTTTAATTTCAACAATATATTTCAATTTGTATATACCTAATTTAGTGTTTAATTTCAACAATATCTATTGTTTAATTTTATAAAAGTAATTTACCTACCGTATAATTATATGAAAATAATTTACCTACTATGAAAATAACTTACCTACTGTTTATTTTATATGAAAATAATGTACCTATCTTTGAATTTTTACAAAGTTAATGTATCTGCTTTTTTAATTTTTAACAAAATTAATTTACCTACTTCTTTTTATGGTATTAGCATACATAATGTAGAATATATGCCCGTGTATAGTTGATCTAATTAGGTTTTGGATTGGGGGAGTTCACACAAAATTAAAACATATGAGAGATATGGTGGCATGATTTTGTAAATAAACACAAATTCATGGACACATTTTATTCAACATGACATCATATTCAAAATTTGAGTTTTATTTAGAAGTTATCATACATGTAGGTTTTTGTCAATAATTTAAGAGTTGTAAAGGTTTAAATCTTAGGAACCCTAAAATAACTAACCTTTTATTTGAACTTTTTTGGGTCTATACTTTACTTTGAACTCAAATATGCAATGGACAAGGAGATCTTTGTGTTTTCAAAATTTTGTAGGGTGACATTGCGTTAAGCGTTAGGTGTTAGCCGTTATTTCAAGTTAAAGCGTATGTGCGTTTTTACTTTTTACATTATTGACTTTAGATACTGTCATGCTCCAGTTGTATAAGCATTTACTATAAAATAGTCATTTGCCAAATTGGACCATTAATGAGTAATTTAATGGATTGACTGGTTTACTTAATTGATTGAAGAAACTAGGAGTTAAGAACATCTCGATGTTAAAACGTTTACCATGAATTTGCATATTTTTTTCGTGTTTCGCGAATTTATTATGAATTGTTATTGACACTTCATAAATTTTGTCATTTCAATCTTTCTATATTTAATTTTTTTAGATGCCAAAAATATCTAATAGATAAATATTTTTGTCGTGGACCGGTAATAATTTAAACAACTAAGTTAAACATGATTAACAGTTTGAAAGAAATTTATATGCGATGCCCCATATTGTTCAGGACAAAAGAGGGGAAACCTCCCAAAAGAGTACAATTAAAGTAAGGAACCCCACGTTTAATCACCATTAGGGGGCCTTCGTTTTTGGGTTAAAAATCTTTCCCAATAATCTTTTTTTATTTGCTAAAATACTGCCCATATTTTATCAAAATCAACACCTAGACCAAAAAGTTGCTTTCATAGGAAGCATAATTTGCATGTTAATGCAGGTAGTCAACATGCGCATGTATTATATCTTAAGCTTTGTCTTGTTTTTTGATCAATTGGTTAGCCCAAGTTGCTTTGATTAATCTTATCCAAGACTTTTGTGCCATAATGATTTTTGTTCGATGAAGAAATTTTTAGTGCAATGGCCGGCCATAGGCGGCTTCGTAGAAGAACCGTGGTTGGTTTCGGGATCATCCAAGATTTGAGAAAAACGTCCATACAAATCTTTTGACCCTTCAAATGTTTAAGCATGAAAGATCATTATATTCCTAAGGTTATATGTTTTATAGGCTAAGCAGTTTTATTTGTATTGTTAACCACCATACAAACTTATGGCTCATTTTAATGTGCTTTTAAAATGACTGAAAGCGTTTTTGGTGAAATTGATTTTGAGTTGTAAAAGCACTTTAAGTGCTTTTCGAAAGAAGCACCAGAAGCACATTTCTGGTGCTTCTTGTAGGAAGCACTTAAAGTGCTTTTTCAGGATCTACTTGGATTTTTACTAAGGATTGATGTCAAAAACATTTTCACCAAAAACGTTTTCAGTCATTTTAAAAGCACATCCAAACGAACTCTTAAAGAGTCTAAGCAATATCATTTAAGAGGGTGAATGAGTTGTAGGCTGGCACCAGACTCCTCGCGGGAAAAAAAATCCAAGTAAAATCCTTTCCTCTTTTGAATGTCATTATTGATTGTCATACTAATTTTAATGAAGGGGTATGGATTTTTTTTTTAAACCAATATAAAAAAGGAAAACTAATGAAAATGACTTGAAAACTTTAAGTTTTAATGATAAGGACAAAATAAAGGGTAAAATGAATAGTACCAGGATTGACTTTTTAGTGTAAAAATGTGGTTTTTCGTTAAAGTGAATAGTACCGGATGTTTTCGTTAAAGTTCCCGTATAAAAAAGCTATTAATGGACTCATAAATTGAGGGGACGGATTATATATATATATATACGACCTTGCTAAAAATGATGCTTACGATTTAGACTTCGTAACTTGTAATAAATTATGAAAATATGACTTTAGTCCTTAAAACTTAATTTTCTCTACATAAAACTCAACATAAGTTTTTTTCTTGAATAAAACTCATTGACTAGATTCTACATTAGCAAATTCATTAATTATGTTTGATTTCACACATTAAAAAAAATTCGGATGCCTAAAATACCCCTATTTGATTTATTTTTTATTTTTATAAACCCTATTTGAATGTTTGATGTACATAATTAATGTCATGCGTATGGATGGTAAAGGAGAATTAATGATTTTACAAAAAAAAAGAACAATAATGTTATAAATTCATTGCCTAATATATAATAACATAAAACATGTCTAATATATGTTATTATACATGCTTAATTAAGTCAATCAAATTATATTTTACATATTAACGTAGGTAAATTATTTCTCACACACACACACACATATATATAAATGCTTGATATATGTAAAATTAATGCCAATAATTTACCTACAAAAAAAAAAACACTTGATTCAAATAGTGCACTTAGATTGCTTAAAAAAAGAAAAATAATATACCCACTATATGTAAAATACATGAAAAATAATTTACATAATAACAAACCCATATATGCAAAATACATAAAAACTAATTTACCTTATAAATTCATTGTTTAATTTTTAAAAGAAACAATGTTTCTACTAGTTTATTTTTTTCCAAAAATAAAGTACCTATTATTTAATTTTTATGAAAATTGTGTACCTATTGTGTAATTTAAACAAAAAATTACATATTGTTTTTTTTTATGAAAATAATGTAACTATTGTTTAGTTTTTACAAGAAACAACGTATCTACTAGTTTATTTTTACCCTTTTTTTTTTAAATTTTCACAAGTTAATGTATCTACTTTTTCAATAGAATGTATATTGAACTAATTAGATTTGGATTAGGCAATTTCACATAAAAGAAGAAAAGAACTTCTTTTTTTTTTTTTAATTAAAAGCAAAAAAAAACTTAAACTAATTGAATGTTGTTGACAAACAAAAGACAATAAACTAAAAGTCTACAAAAAAATAAAAACAACCATAATAGCCATATTAATGTTGGTGGCATGGTGTTGTAAATAAATTTAAATATACGGACATTTTTATCTTACATGGCATCAAATTCAAAATTTGGGTTTTATTTATATGTTTTAATATAAGTGAGTTTATATCTAGAGTTCAACAATTGTAAGAGGCTAAATCTAAAGCACCCTAATAAATTAATTGAATTAGTGTATCACGTAAGGATTAAAAAATCAAACCGATAAATTTATCATTGCTCATTGTAGCGGGGTTAACACGAAACGAAAGTAGTAGGTGATTGTAAATGGCACTTGATCACCATGTGCAATCCAGAAGACCCCAGGCTCCTCCCCACATATTGATGGTGACTTTGATCTTACATATGTTGTCTATCCTTTTTCTTTTTATCAAAAAGGAGAGCTACGGAAGTCCACTATTTCTGAGTCGGAAAGATTCACAAAGGCATTTCAACCTCTCCTTAGCTATCATCATGCAATTTACCAACGCCAGAAATCAAACTCAGAACAAACCGTATGGAATACGGGCCTAACCACTAACCACCCCTTGGTGATTAATATGTTGTCCAAGTAAGGTAGTCAATTATAAGTGGGGACATGAAGAAACAGGTCATCACCATTAACTTTTTGGACCCCCAGTTGAATGTGACTGAACAATAGAGTATGAAGGTCCACCCTACATAACATAGACGCTCACAAATGCACGTTTTCTTCACGGTCACATGAAATACAGAAATAGCAATAATCTTCTTCCTGAAAGTTCTGTAAAAAGCTTACAAATTCAATTTACAGATGAGGCAAAACTTTGGTTTTTTTCATCGCTTGAGGCAGTACTTTGCACGCAGGTTACCAAGCTTCTCCGCATACTCGATTGGAGTTGCCTCATTGTAGAACACTTCATCCCATATCTTATCAAGATCTGTTTGCAAAGTTATTGGGTTAGTATATTACACGCTGTACTCTACGATATGCAACTAACGGAAAATATGAAACCTAAACCCCCATGAAGATAGGCAGGAAACCGAGCCAATCCAACATATGAGCAGGTAGTAAACGATAAACTTGTGCCACATTAGGAGACCTTGCCCTATAGCCATTTCTGGTTTCTCAAAACCACATTGACTAGACATGCTCTAACGAAAATAACATTTGAAACCTAGGTTACTCTTAGCTTTTTAGCATTTCAAGGAACAATTTGAACTGTAAGGATGCATACCGGCCTTGTTTGAGGATGAAAGAAAAATGATGAGTGTGTCAAATCTTGGAACCTTGGTCAAGTTCTCCAAATAATTGACGGCCAGTTCCATTTCTTCACTGCCAGAGAAATCAAAGGTGGACATAAGGCCATTTCATCAAGCTCAATAAGAAAAATATACTGATAAGATACAAAGCATTACTTACACAAAAAAGGTCGCCACGCAATTGATAATGTCAATTAGTATGGGAACAGTCAAAGCATTTTTGAATATCTGTGGCAATGCACTAGGAGATATAGACTGCATGGAAAACGAACAAAACTAACATGAAACCGGTATGGAAAGTCAGAATTAGTTATGATTTCCTAAGCAATTACTAACTATACATACAATTATATTACTCCTTAATGGACATGTGAACTTGTTAATATAAATAGATTTAATTGGGAACCTCTTGGATGGCAGTGGTCAACGAAATGGATGACCGTCATGCAAAACAAACACACTAAAGGTCACCCACTTTGAGACGACAGAAAGAACACATGAATCTTGATTTTGGAATTCTAAATTATGAAAGCAAAGCACAAGAATATTTTTTCAGACCTTCAACAGACTAGCCTGCAGAGCACTATCTCCAGAGAGATCTCGCCAAGAAACCTCAAATTGATATGCGGTAGTTGGTGGGGTGATGTTTTTCTCTGCAGCTACAACCTTGGCTTTGGAAGCAGCTCGAGAAGCAAGCTCTTGTACCGATGCCTTCACCTCTAGCTTCTTATTTGTATTATCTCCCTACAAAACAATAAATAAATAAGCAATTAAAAATAAGAAGACAATGCCTCTATGATAAAAAGACAAGGTAGGAGTAACTGACGTATAAGTCTGGTAGGAAGCTAACAAATGCAGTTGAATACGGCTTCATAAACTAGTCTATTTTACTTATTAGTACTAAGAACAAAAGGAAAAATCAATTACAACGAAACAAAAATGAAGTAAAAGGGCCAACAAAAGACTAATCCTTCATACCTTAGTATGATCTTGAACTGAAGTTATTTCAGTTATTTGAGCACTGCTTGAGACAGGCTGGATGCCTTTTCCATTTACTTTGGTATCCAACTTTCCCCTTTTCTGCACTTCTTGTACAGAATTTTTCAGTGCTCCAGATGCCTTCTCAAGATTTGACTGGCAATTAACAATTACAATGAGTCAACCCAATAATTCAATGAAATAACCTATGAATAACCATGATATTAAACCATGAAAAGCCAATCTAACTTAACTCCATCTAGCAAAAGTTTGTACTGACAAAACAAGCATGAAGTTCAACTCAAGCCTGGATTAGGCATGTAAAAGACCTCTAAAAGGTCAAGGCAAGCTTATCTCAGATTCTTAAGCATGCCTAACATATAAATATAATAGTTGTACTAGCAGAAATTATACAACGAACAGGGAATGCTAAAATGCTCTCTCTCTCTCTCTCTCTCTCTCTCTCTCTCTCTCTCTCTCTCTCTCTCTTAATTCATGCACACAGTTCAAAGTTTACATACACACAAGGGTAGGTTTTTCTAAAGATTTAAGTAACAATTCCATGGGTGAATCAACACTACTAAAATGGCCCTCAATAATATAATGTAGAAACTTAGAACCAACTACAGATGTGTGTGGAAATTGACTTACTTTGTCATACAAAGATTTGGCTTCCGTGTATTGTTTCTTGATCTCTTGGTTGTGAGGCTCCAACCTCAGGGCAAACTCAGCATCTGCAGTTGGCTATTCTCATTACATCAGACAGATCAAAATTATAATATCAGATAGAACCCATAAATGCAACAATATCAGGAAACAAGGTCATTGTTTAGTTTTCAACCAACCCTCGAATGATTCTTTAAGCTTTCCAAGTTCTTTTCTAGCTGTTGCACGTCGTGAGTATGCTTTTATATAACGATCATCCAAATTCAAGGCCTCTGTACAGTCATCCTCAGCTTCCTGAAATCTAAAGAACAAGATGAAAAAACACATATGCTTCAGAAAAGTACAGTACCTTGTAAGAGCCATATGAAAACTATGAACACCTACTGGAATCCAAAAACTCAAACTTGCATATTTTATAAAATAGCGGAAATAGATAAATAAATAAACAAAATTGCATGCAAGAATTCTCTTATTAAACAAAACAGAGTGAATGGGGCAACGCTTGCCTTCTGATTTTGATATATGCCATTCCCCTATTTGCATACGCTACTGCAGATGGGGACAAAGCGATGCTTCTTGAATAGCAGTCGATAGCTTCCTTAAACTTCTTCTGCTTAAAATACTCATTACCCTATAAGTTAACAGGCAATAACACAATCAGCATCAACATTGACCCAGTTGTTCTGAGTAATCTTAATCCTGCAGTCTTAAATTTATAACTACAGCATAACACCATCAACTCCTACCAATTCTTTTTCTGAAGCAGCATCGGGAAGACTATCTTCGGATCTCAAACTACTTGATATTCTTTTGATGGCATCAAAATTCCTTGAGTAGTCATAATTCCCAGAACTGGTCCCGGAATCTCTAGTCTTCTGAAAAGACAACACTTACATAAAATTCCAATACAAAAACATATCCAAGATTAACAACCCGATCATCAGCTTAGCGAAAACAAAATTTAACAGTAACGGCAAATTACACATCGATTTATGAAATGTTGCCATGCTACAATGAGAAGAGTAAAAAAGCTACCAGCTTTTCCTGCTGTGAAACTTGTGGTCTCATTTTCTTGTCCTTGTCCTTGAGAGAAAGCTCCCAGTCCTGCAAGTCACTCAAAAACCCCTGGAAATCCTGGAAACAGAGGACCAGCACAAAAAATACGAAAAACCCAATACACTACAATCATTAACTAAATACCTAATAACATATTCATAAAAAGAAAAACCAAAACATGAGCTTTTAATCCGAAACTTAATTACATTCTGTTGGTTGAAAACTTGGGAATCGGAAACTGAATTTCACATGTAACCCCAATCATCAATTCTAGGGTTTGATTACATTTCAGAATCCAAATGAAATAATCTTTCAATGGACCAGAAAGTTTCTGATTTTATTTTCTTTGAGGATTTTCCCTCAGCTTTCCCATCTCCCAAACAGATTATTAAGTCGAGTATTAGCTAAAATACTTGGAAGAAGTGATTGGGGAAGTGAAAATACCAGAGCTTGGTCGCGGCCGTGCTTGTTCGGAGGTCTAGCCATGGAGGGCGCGTACCCGATGCTTCTCGTAGAGAAGACAGACTGAACGACACGAACACGAGGGACTCGTCCCTCTTGAGGTTTTTCTCCGCGAAAATTTAGCAATTACCCCTTAATTATGTTCCCTTAAACGAGTTCGAAGCCGTTGCCGGTATGGAAGTCAAACTTGTGGTTAGAGAATCCTGAAATATCTTTACGAGTCTTCTCGGCTTCTAAAATGAGTGGATAACTGTAGTTTACAATCAGTTATCCAATTTTTTAAGGGGTTATTTTATTAACACCTCATATATTGTTGAATACATCCTACATACTTAATACATCCCATATTTACTTTTTTAATTAAAATTTATCTTAATACACCCCACATTACTTCCAATAATATCCTCACACACTACACTCTCAACATACACTCCACATTTTATACAGACAATCCATACTGTTATGTGCATAATACAAACAATTATCCTAGATATGACGATCTTTTTGGGCCCCGCATGCAGAGTGAAGCTCCTCATCCCTTTCCCAGGTAATACGAGCAACCGTCGCTTCCATATTTTTCTAAACATCATGCTGAAAACAATCCTGATCCATATGGGCTTTACCCGCATAATGAATTGTTTCACCATCCTACTTGCCCTTGCTTCTATTGCTATGACAAACACTTGCGGGGTTCAGCAATATGAGATGGTCAAGTGACCTTACTCCCCAAATGGAAAGCTTTGTTTATTCCCATCCAGATAGGGTGGTGTTAACCGGTGGTGGCCGGCCATGTCTTCCATTTTCTGGTGGTGCTCCATTTGTATGTTTAATTAGGTCAAAATTGTCATTACATATTAGGGTTTATACGTTGTTTAAAATGCGCCGGGAGGGGTATTTAGCATTGTTTGGGGTACTAATAAAAAAAGCTTTCTTTTAAAAAAAAATTAAAATTAAAAAATGATGTAGCGGTAATCTGGAAATTTTGGCTAGTAAAACAACCAGGTCACATTCGTTCAAAATTTTATTGTGAACAACTAAAAATGTACATTAAAAGGTACATGATGGAAAATTTAATGAAATTACGGTGAGATGACAATTTAATGGTTTTGTTCATATGACATTTTTAAAAATTGATATGACTACAAATTCATATAATATTTCAAAAAATTTCTCTTTCCCTTAAACAATCATCCCTAAAAAAAATTACCAAATAAAATTATTTGAACCGGAGACCGTTTAGGTTTAGCCATCCAAATGACAAAAACAACACGATTGATATAAATACCAAGTAACATATTCAAAATGAACCGTTTATTTACTTGGTACATTTGAAGGACGAATAATCTTCAAACGAAGATTACGAAGATGAAAAACAAACCATGGATAAATCCAAGCAAATCTTTCTTAAATCCATGGACTTCCTGATTATGAAGTTTATACAATTAAAATACATTATTTATAAAACGTGGGATACGATGGAATGCAAGCATACGTGGGAAACTTGACCAAGCACACGGTTTGTTGTAGCGCGCAAACAAGCTTACAACTTTCCACAGAATATGCAGGAAGTTTTATGTATGATTTGTGTATACAAATTCCCTCCATATATACAGCACACCCATGTAATAACTAATTAAAGTACATATGAAGCGCTGCCGGACTATCCTGCAACTGCAAGTCTGCAAAGCCGGTTTCACAGAATCAACAGGCAGATAGAGGGGCCATCTTTTCATGTATTGCCTTGTAACACCGGAGACTGCACAAAGGGAGCTTCGACTGTGAATCCCGGTACTTGTAAGGATTTGTACAATATGGTCCGGCACACTTTTCTCGGGGAGGAGGGTAACTGAAATCAGCATAAACATAAAAACAAAATACAAAAAATTATCCGATGAACTTCATGATATATTTTGTTTTCTGGAGCTAGAGATATGTGCTTGAAAACCAGGTCTGAGACATTTGAGAAACATTTAAAGCTCAAATGGCTATGAAAAGGCTTCAACAGTCGCGGTGGCTGAATATTAAGGGTGGGTTCAGAAAAGCACGATGATATAGAATTGTCCAAGACCGAAGAGATGCATCATTTACGACAGCGATAGAATTATAGCAGTATCTAGATTTGAGAAAAGAAATTACATATAATCACAGAAATAAGTGTCTAGAATTTCCAAATGCTCTTACCTGCAAGGCTTGGAGTCGAATATAGCTGGCAAGCCCATTTCATTGGGGAAAGTTACAACCGATCCTGATGGACCCATCACCCATCGGACAGAATCTGGCGGAAGTGTGAAAGCATTTGCAGCCCTCTCCTGCAAAAGAAATGAATGTACCATTAATCAAGAATCTATCGCATGATATACACAGAGAGGATGCTATTATGTGCTATCTGTTACCTGAGCCATATCTTCTTGCCGTTTCTTTATCTTGTCTTCTCGTTTCTTCCTACTGGAATCTTGCCCCAGAATTTTTCTGATTGCCTCAGCCTAAGACGGCCAAATTTGAAAGAAAATGATAAGTAACTTCTTTCTAACACATGTATATCACAGGCAAAACAACAAGCTAAAAGACAAGCCAAACCTCAGATTCTCGAGTTGCCTTCTCTACTTGCATCCTACGTCTCTCCGCCGCCTCAGCTTTCTTGATTTGCTGCTCCAATGCACAGGGTTTCTCCTTTTGCTCTATCAGTAAAAGCAACAATTACCATCATCAGAGAAGTCGGTGTGTATTCAACAGAAGCTACTTATGATAAAAGGAAAAAAAAAATATTCTCTTACTTCTTGGTGGAGCCGGGGGCAACCCATTTGGGAACTCAAATAAACCTGCACCTGAGCTGGATGAGACATCTTTGCCAGTGTTAAGAGCCCTTTGACGAGTAGTGACTGTCATCTCCTTCTTATTATATGAGGATGATTCAACAAAGTCCTTTCTCGATTTTTTGCTTTTAGTATTAGGCTCACCATCAGAAACAGGTTCTTCTTCCTCTTCAACATAATCAGTATCATCAGATACGCTTCCTACTCTGGACTTCTTACCATCCTTGCCTGATCTTGGTATGCCATAATCTCCCAAATCTACACTTAGTCCAATACCACTCCCCTTCATCACTGTCGAAATCTTCCTTTCTTTTCTAGTTTTCCTTTCCTCATCCTCATTGTACTCTGCAGTATAATCTGAGGTGACCTTAGATATTTTGAGTTTTTCAAGGTATCGAACTTCCATGTCATCATCATCTCCATCATCAACTGCATCCAGGACGCGTCTCTTAGGGACCCGTTTGCTCTTGCGAACAGGTTCTTCAGCCTTCCCAACACGAGTGACAGTTTTAGATGTATCCTTCCGTGGGACTCCCCGTAACCCACTTCCTTTATCTGAACTAAGGGAAGGACTATCATCCGAGTCTTCCTGCAACAGTGATAGAGTTAGATGTAGTCTTGATGATCCTTGATCCATATATGACCTTATTAATTAAACTACTAAACCCTTTTGTGTGAAGGAAAGGAAGGGAAACTATGAAACCAAAGACCTCAAGGAATTGATTAGATGAACTGAAAGAAGTAACTAAAAAACGAAGGATATCCAAGAAATTAGAACAAAATGACAACCTAGCTATCAAATATCTAATAAATTTTGAAAATTTGAAGTTATTAATCTTTCCATCTTATCTAATTTTCTGTAAAAGCAATCCATATTAATATGCTACCCAATTCAAGATGTCTGCCTGAACTATGTGGATATTGAAATAAAATCACATCCAGATTTGCCACACACAGTGCTTGTCAAATTTAGTAAATCTGGAAGAATATTTCAAGGCAGACTAACCTGAAGAATCAACTTCTGGCGTGGTCGAGGGGCATCTGAAATGCGAGAAGATTTTACAGAAGACGGACCAACAGTAGATGCACCACCAGATGTAGACTTGGCCTGAATTGTGCGTGTAACACCACCAACTTTAAGCTTAACCATTTTCACTTTATTCTCATTCTCTGAGCCATCCGAAACAACTCCAACAGGCCCAAGCTTGTTTGTGCCTTTCCAATTAGCGGGGGCAAGAGCACCCTTATTGGACCTTTTGGAATCAATCCCCCTATGCCTCTGTTCGTCACTGCCTCGAAATGAACCATCATTTGAAGCTTCCTCAGATTCTCCGGAACCTCCTCCCTCACCTTTATCCATATTCTGGACAGTCTCAGCTTCCATAATGTTACTAAACGAAGCCCTTGCGCTGCATAAGTTCAAATTAATGTCTCTCTTTCGTGTAATTGAACCATCATCGTTATTCTCATCACTTTTGCTTACATCTTCCGAAGAAGGAGTTGATGACACATTATCACGACAATCCAAAGGTAGCTGTGACTCGTTCCGAGGACGACGAGACGTGTTACTCCTTTTCTTCCTCACAGCATTGCTTCCATCGCTGAATCCCAAACCTCCAAAACCCTCCATCGTAATCAGAGAGCCAAAACAAAATCCTGCTGCTGCCTTTATTTTCCCATAAAGGGGGCTGAGAAAGTCATGAGCAAGAGGTTAGGGATTGTAAATGTCATACGCATAAGCATAACAACAGACACTAAAGAGGTATTCAACTAAAATCTTCAATCTTGGAAACCAATAAGTGCAAACATTGTAACCGGACGAAGATAGTAAGAAATCAAAGAAGCCCTTCTCAATCTTCAATTAGCAGTCAACGAAACATAACTAGTTCAATACAGTTTATTCTCCGTAGCGCAGAACACAAAATCATCTTCGTTTCCTAAAGCTAAAATGTCCGCTGAGCTAAACCGAATGGTTGCAGAATCAATTCTAGTTTCTAAAATCTAAAGCATGATCATAAATTCGTTATAACAAAAAAAAAAACATCCGAAAACATCTTTGCGCCCAGAGAACAAAATTGCTTCCCCTGAAAAACACCACCATGGAAATGCAAAAATAAAGCTAGATTTCAGAAAGTTATCTCGGGAAACCAAAATTCAACACAAATCAACCACAACAACAAAGCATTTTCCCACTAAGTGGGGTCTGCTATATGAATCCTAGAACGTCATTGTGCTCGATTCTGTGTCACGGCTTCCGTTAGATCCAAGTACTCTAAGTCTTTTCTTAGAGTCTCTTCCAAAGTTTTCTAGGTCCTCCTCTACCCCTTCAGCCCGAACCTCTGAGTCTCTTCCAAAATTCAACACAAATCAATTATCCAAAATTCTCAAATGGGAGAAATTACATTAACACCTACTGAATCCCCCATCAAAATTCAGAACAAACCCAGATTTAGAAACACCCACAATTAACACAACCAATCCACCTTTACAGACAAACCAACTACAAAATCCAAAATTTACATCCACAACCGAAAAATTTCATGTTTTTCCCTTATAATACACAATTAATAGAAATTCACACACAAAAACCCAATAATTCGCCAACAACAAAATAAAAATCACAGAAAATTTAACAATTTGAAACAATCGGGCAAGAACCGAAATTCCCAGATAAGAAAATCAAACAAAATCAGCAAAAACTCAAAAGAAAGACCAAATAAGTCGAAAGATCTTACCTTTAAATTAAGCAACGAAAACCCTCGGAGAAACTCAAGATTATTATCACCCACAAGATTGCTCCGATCCAAACAGTATTTAAGAGTACGAATTGGGTTTGGGTGAATAGGTGGCGTGATGTGATTGGAGGACGAGACGTAGGGAGGAGGAGAGCTGGGTGAAAAGTCAGGGTTTTCGTTGCAGGGGAGGGGACCAAAGATTTCACCATCGTTGCAGTAAATTGAATAGTGCTGGGTTTTTGCTGGGTTCATTTTACTGCCTTGTACGGTTTCCTGTTCCCTCTGTCGAGTTCTCCCATCAGACCGTTGGGTTTGGATCAGGGAGTGCGTAGGTTAGTAACCAACGCACCCCTGGTGCGCATTAGCCTGCATCCAGTTTAAGGTTTTTTTCTTCTTTTTTTTCTCTTATTTCCTTCTTTTTTTTCCCATGATATTTACATAAGTAAAATGATTATTTTGTTCTTCTATTTTTCCAGCTTGTTTTCAGAGTTAAATAATGAATATTTACAAGGGATTTTATCAAAACATATGGTAATTGTAAAATTAACAAAGACGAGTTCAATTACGATAAAGAAAAAGAGCGAAACATTTCAATTTTTTTTTTAAATGTACAAGCGATGTTGAAAAAATTAAGATTTATTTGTTGTTTGGTTTAGAATTTGAATACTAGAATGACGTTTTCTATTTGGAAATAGCCAATTCAGTCATCTTTATGTTCTTGATCATGTGTTAAAGAGTTATGTTAAGGTCAGTCGTTCACGTGCAAATAAGGATTTTCTTATTATAAATTAACGTGCAACTCACTTTTGATCAACAAATGCGCAATGTATAACCAACTAACTTAACGAAATGATGACGACGAGAACAACAAAACTAGTTTATGTAATTTTGTGGTGTCGAAGTAGCTCACTAAAATGCATAGTGAATTATTACAACCACCCCATTAGCATAACACCGTTTCTTAAAGTCATTATTTCTCACGTCTCATTGTACTCAAGTAATGATCAAATCATTCTACTGTCTAAAATATTACAACTACTTTACACATTGTTTTTAGAAGTAGTTTTGAAAATTTTACAAGTTATGGAAAATTTTAAATCATCGTCGATAATTTGAAGATCCCACTAACTCAAACTTACTGCTCGTAGCTTAAAATAGTTTTAAATATCGTCTTGCAAAAAAAAAAAAAATCTCCTCTTATTAGTTAGATTTAGAGTTCAATATAAGATCTCTTTTCATTTTTTATTGGGAATTTTAACAAAAAGCACTCGGTACTGTTCACTTTAACGAAAAACCACATTTTTACACTAAAAAGTCAATTCTGGTACTATTCACTTTACCCTTTATTTTGTCCTTATCATTAAAACTCAAAGTTTTAAAATTTTTTTCATTAATTTTTCTTTTTTTATTTGATACTAAGCTAGCTTCCAATAAATGGAAAATTTGATCAAGTTTGTTGGACTACAGTCAGACAGCAATCTTCTATCTTGTCCAACCCTAGTTGACACGTACGTTCCAAAGAGTACCTCACGTGCGATGGTCTCGTGGGACCCACACCTATGAACTGGAGCTGGAAGTTTTGAGTTGAGACCGAGACATAGGTTGAGATTCACTCTGAATCTTTGTATTTAGAGTCGTGGAATGAGACGTTTGGACTATTCAATTTAATTATACATTTTTTATTAGTGTATTTATTGACTCACCTTACAAAATTTTAAAAATTTGAACGGCTAGATTTCCTTTCGTAAAAAATATTTTGGTTATAATTTTTTTTGCTATGGTCCGCAACGAGGTGAGATTTGTGATATTTTCTTTTTTAAACGGTCTAATTTTAGAATTTTTATGCTCCGAACACAAAGATTTTGAGTGAATCTCAAATCGTGAGAAATGAGAGGAAATAGGGCATCTGAGACAGACAAGTCAGGAGCGAGAAAACGTACGTGGGTGACGCAACCGCCAGTGACGGACAAAAATATGAGGACGGGTGAAAAGACGGGGGACGTTAGAGTGACCCCTCTGACCGCAAATATCAACAACGATCAATCAGTCAATCACAAAGGACCCTGGGGGGGTGACGTGGAAGACAGATCCGACGGTTGACAGCGACTCTGAGGCCCCACTTTTCCTAGACATCACATACACGACAGTAGCGCGCGATGCGCGGGTGCTCCTTTTGTGCACTCCATCCCATGTTATCAAATCAAAAGCTCTCTCTTCCAAAATATTTCACCTTTTTCTTTTCGCTTTTGCCTAATTAATCTTTTTCGCTTGTTTTTAATTCTCTAGACTTATCCTAATCTTTAGAATAAAACTCAAATTTTATGTTCTAAATTTATCCAAACTTGCTTCAATCTTTGGAGCAAATATGAGTTAAAATTCAAAACTCATTTATAGACCAAATTTAGCCTATATTCCCCAAGGCTAGTGGGGCTGACCATCATATATGTATATTTTTTTTTAGTTTTATATTTATAAATTCATTAAATCCAACAGTTAAGATATAATTTGATGAAATTCAACAGTAAAAAACAAAATTTAACAGTCCAAATTTAAATCTAATGGCTAAAGTAATTAAAAAAAATTTCTTTTGTGCGTTTCATATTTTTTCATAGTATTTAACCAATTTCATGGTGTCAGTTAGTGATTTTTCAATATTTGTCAGAATCTAAATATTTTTAGATTAAAATGTTCATAAAATTAAATTATGATAGTCTACGTAATTTTTTCTTTTAAAAAGGTTACTTTAAGAAAAAAAAAATTTAGCCTAAATTCATTATTTAATAATATGGGACTAAAATTTTAACCCAGAAGGGTTAGAGCAAACAAACTATTTCAAACCTAAATTTTAGGTTTTAACCTAATGGTTGGAGATAGTCTTAAAGTTCATAAAGAAATAAAGGTCGTACCCAGTGCACAAGGCTCTCACTTTACGCAGGGTCTGGGAGAGGTGAATGTCGGCTAGCCTTACCCCCATTTGTGGAGAGGCTGCTTCCAAGTCTCGAACCCGAGACCTACCGCTCATGGGCGAAGGCACTTGCCATCGCACCAAGTGCGACCTCTAAAGTTCATAAAGAAATATATGAAAAAAATTGGATTGGTCCTCGAATTTTAATTTAATTTGAACCCTTTACTCTTTTAACTAAAAAACTTTAGTGTTAGAATTTCCACATCTCATTTGCACAATTATTCAACGTCCAACAACAACACACTATTAAGTCGAAATTTACAGTTTTTTTATGAACTCTTTACCAACTTGTTAATTCATTAAGGATTCTTGTTTGCACGGAATTGATGATGTAATATTGGGTCTAAAAAATAAGCAAATTATACCTAGCTAGGGTTTCATACATGGACTGGTTGTGTTTGCTTCGATTTCACTTTAGGGTTTTTTTTGCTAGGATTTCACTTTAGGGTTTTTGTTTTTATTTTCTGAAATTTTTTATATTTTGAAAGGATTAGATTTATTTTCTAAAAGTTAATAATTGACTGTAAAGAGAAATTGGAAAATTGATCATAAAGATACAAAACATGAGTTCAATAAAATTTCTCAACGACTTCAAGCAAAAAATAAGTTTGTATACAAGAAAAAGTCACAAAAACCACAAATTAGTCACTTTTTTTTCAATGTTTACACATAAAAAACTGAGTGCTTCACTACTACTATAAATCTTTATATCCATAAAATTTCGTAGTTTTAACGTACTCTAGATTTCGTTATGTCAATATTCATTCAAAGTTTATAACTGCTTCTTTTTTCACATATTTTTCTAGAACATTATGCAAATAGGCTTTGAAAAATCTAGTAATCTTGGCACAACCATAATCATAATGCTAATTTACTAATATATTAGAAACTCATGACTAGCTAAGCTCATAATATTACATTGACTGCAGACACCATACCAGCCGATCATCTTTTGACACAAAATCATTAACTTGTGACCAACTAATATGTGCCTACCTTACCTATCTAAAATCACAGATTCTTAAAAACCAAGTTGCCATAGAAATATATGCCTATATATATATGGTTGTCTCTAAGATCCACCAGTTGGACTTCCTGGTCCCCCAAGTGTTAAAAACACACCAGGAAGATCACTTCTTTCTTTGGCTACAGATGGATTGGCTCGAATGACCGAAAATGGTCGAGCAACCTGAGGTTGGCTGAGGCCCAGGCCAGACTCCGGCATGGAATTCCTCATTGGTTGCTCAGATAGCTTCAAGGGTGGCTCGTGATGATTCGAGTTTGGAAATGGTTTTGCTTCAGAAATGGGAATTTGGCTTGTTGAAGACGAAGGATTTTGCACGAAAGTTGGCCTTCTTGAGATGATCTGGGGTCCCTGGTTTGACACATAAAGTTGCACAAACAAGTTAACATTGTAAGCACATTAATGAATGGGCAGTGTGATTTTCGGACACCTTTTTTCTCACCCTGCACACCTTTATTGACAAAAATAAAATGACGTGTGGAGGGAGAAAAAGGGCGTGTGGATATCACTTCTAACGATTATGTGTCAGTTTTACAGTGTAGTTGAAATTGGGAAGCTTACTGGTGCAAATAAGACTCCTCTATATATCTTTCCATTAACCATCGCGGTCATTAGGAAACCTGAGTCGAATGCTCCATCAACTTTGCCTTGAACCTCAGCACCCATCTAAGGAGACACAAAACCCCAATAAAAAGCCATGCATTGGCAAAACGAATAATTTTTTTGCCAATTATCGAAGCAAAGTGAAATTAAAGGAATGCATACCATGTTCTGAATAGGCCCTGCCTCCAAGTGTTTTTGTTCTACTGCTTGAAATTGCATACTTGGTCTACCAATGTTGACATGATGATACTGTTCTCGTTTTGGTTCGGTGTGACGCTCTCCTAACAAGTTAAGGTCTGGAGATCTTTGTCCAGAATTTCTATTAGCTTTATGGCTGCTCGTGACAATGGGAGATTGGCCATTGCTCGGACTATGATTGAGTTTCTTAAACAAATGAAAACCTTGAGAACCTTGGTTGGAATCAACAATATTAGGATTCGGGATCTGCTCTTGATCCGAGTGTGATGGTGATGAATGCTGGGAGAGTGATAGAGAATGCTCCTCTTGTTCTGATTCGAGATCTATTGATTTTGTACTTGTGGTTCTTCTCCTCTTTGGATGTAAAGTATCTACATTTATGTTTACGAATGAATACTCATTAACAATGATTTT